TGTGTGTGTGTGTGTGTGTTACAATTCTTGAATCAATAGAAAGTTCAATCTATCAGTATTTATTTGAAATAGAATTTTATTGTAGCATTATAAATATTATAAACTGTCACTTTTGATAAATTAATTGGAACCTTGCTAAAAAACAAACAAACAAAAAAACACTTAATTTATACAAGAAAAATTTACTGGCCCTAAACCTTTTAATGGTAGTGAAACATATATTGTGAAACTACTGATATGTTTATGACTCCAGTACTCTAATGTGCTTTCAAGCGCTCTAGAAACGGTCCCCCTCCGGCTCAGTGGACTCTCATCATTATGACCTTCTGCTCTCTGACATTTTCAGCGTGGCATTTACGTTTCCTAGCAAGTGAAGAGATCTACATATTTTTTTAAACTAGTTTTGCCTCCACTTCATACTTTCCTGTTCTGTTTGCCACAGCACTACTGTATATTCACTTCTATACTTGCATTTTCATACATTTTGCACACCACTAAATGTAATATACTGTGTGTGTGTGTGTGAATCCAGTGATATACAGGCACTTCAGAGGAATGTTTCATCAGAACCCACATCTGCAGTGAAGTTGATTCAGTCTAAAGAAGACACTCCATGTGGTAAACCCCCCCTAGACAATGGACAGTATTTGGACATACGAGGGGTCACCGAAATGGACAGCTCCTCAGATGCCAACACTACAAAGACCTCAACCACTACTACTGCTACTACTGACTGCACTGAAAGCACCACCACTGCTACACAACCTTACAACAAACTAAAGAGTCAGCAGGGTAAAACCTCTGTGCAATTTGACCAGCCCAACAGGTGAGACCTGCACTTCCTTATTCCAGTGGACACTCTTATGACTATAAAAAAGGAGTTGATGAGATGCACAGATGCAAATAAAGCACTCAAGCAACAAACTTCTATTAGAAGTGCTATCTTAGTGAGCTTTCTATCTAGGCCATGTTTTCAGCATCATAGTTATACTCCTAATGTGAAGGCTTTCCAAACATTAGGCTGCAAACCTGCCACCATAGAGCTTTGCTGATTTGGATGGTTGCTATAGCGTTGCTTTATGGTTTCTGATATGTTTCAATTGGTTTCTAGGGCATTGGTAGGTGGTTGCATACCATTCCCAACACAAAGGAGTCAACCTCCATGTCTCTATGATATTCTGATCTCTAGATATTGCCTAAGTCCATCCTTTAATGTACACTGCCGTTCAAAAGGTTGACTTTAGTAAGATTTGTAAAAATGTGTTTAATGTTTTTGTTAATTAATTAATATATTCTATTAATCAAAGAATCCTGAAAAACTAATCATGGTTTCCACAAAAAAATTAAGCAGCACAACAGTTTTCAACATTGTTAACTGGGTAACTAAAACTAAAACCATAAAAAAATAATTAATAAATAAATAAACTAAAACAATTGTTACTTGAAATGAAATAAAATAAATGTTAACTGAAATAAAATGTATTTAAAAAAAATGTATTATTATATTATTATTCTAAAAAAATTAATTATTCTTATTTCAATTTCCAAAACGTTTTTCATTTTAATTTAGTTTAACCTGATGAACTAAAATAACTAAAACTGAAATAATAGGAATTTTTCATATCAGTCATTTAAGGCTACGTTCACACTAGGGCTGGGTTTTGACACAAATTTCATGATTCGATTCGATTCTCATTCACAAGCTTTCGATTCGATTTGATTCAATATCGATTATTTTGGATATATATCTGGTACGCATGCAAAATTTTCTCAAGGAAAAAAAATCTCTTAACTAATGCTGTCAAATATACATGAGAGTCAGTTGGTACTACATTACTATAATACTGAAGGTTAAAACTGACTGATTTTTTAAGCTATACAACTGCTTAAATTACACTTAATGAAGTTTTTATATAAGTTTTTTAATATAAACATTAAAATGGTGGCTGTCATAAAAAATATAAATTAAACATTGAAGACCGTAAAAGTTATAATGAATATATTATATGGTGCATATATTTAGCTAAATGCCCCTCTCTACAGTTTATTTTTCTATCTGACTAATGAGATTATGGTCACCGATTGTTTTTTTCTGAGGTAAATGTGACGTTACGTGATATTGTTTACAAGCCGTTATATTGACGTCTTTGCGCGGCTGAAACACTAATTGAGCGAATACATGAGACAGGATACGGATTGTAAAGTTGTACTCTTTCTTTTAACTTACCTTC